ATCTATCTATCTATCATCTATCTATCTATCTATCATCTATCTGTCTGTCTGTCTGTCTGTCTATCATCTATCATCTATCATCTATCTAGTTGAATTTCATCTATTGGGTAGTAGCAATACACTTAATATTTGTTTTGAAAAAGATATATTAATATAGAAGATACAGTAAATAGAATCTTCATTTTTCTCTTTAACATTTAGTTCTGCATCCGTTATGATTTTTCCTTTAAAATTTTGATTTAATCAATTTAAGCATTTTAAACAAAATCAAAGCACATAAATCACTATAACAGTTTCAATACTGAATTTACTTTTATGTATAATATTATACTAGTAAATATCCTCCCAACAGTAGAGTTTGATTTGAATTTGTTGGGAGTAATTAACTCAGTTTATGATGTATGGGGAAGAAGGTTTTCATTTACTTAAAAATTATTTTTCCACTCATCAGGGAATCTCATGGTATAAGTAAACACTGTATTTGTGAGGTTCTTATTTTTTTTTAAAATTTATGCCTAAGCACATTTAGGGTGGGACAAATCTTTTCACACATATTTCTAGTATATAGTAGTATCATCCATGCAAAATTCTTATGAATATTGTAAGATGGTATCAAAATTAAGAAATAAATAGGTTTGTTTGATTAAGGACACACTCAGTTTAATGGGTATGCGCTGTTTTCCTAGAGGAACACTTCAAGCTTTAAGAAGGTGAAAGCCAAGGCAAAGTGAGGCTGCTCTGAGTCACACTTTATGAAAGAAAAGCATTTCACAGTCCTGTGCTTCCGAAATGGTGAGCATACCTACCAGTATGGGACTCTAACTAGTCTGCCTATTAGCTTGCGTTCCAGGAAAATAGCATAATTTGAGATTGCAGTTAATTCAAATCAGCATTTTGGTGAACTTGGGGCCAATGGCAGATCAGAAATTTTCATGTCCTGTAAAGTATAAAATGTGATGGAGGGGGGCTTAGTAATACAGAATTGTAAACATGTAGTTTATAAAAGGAATATTCATATTAAATGAGGAAAATACTGCAAAATGTTATGTCTTTAGAAACTTGACCAATGGTATTACATGTAAAAAGCATAAACTCTAGAAACAGTATTTTTAAATCTCTATTCCACATTTTCCCATTTTGATGCCCACCTTTTATTGGCTCCTCTCCTATGGATACTGAGTCATTCCAGTACAAGTATGGAAGCTATTTACCTCTGTTATATTTTTCTCATTTCTTTGCCATGAACACTTTGACTGTATATGCTGGCTCCATTACAATACTGCTCTATTGTTTTTCTTTTCTTTTCTTTTTTTACCATTATAAATACTTTGAATACTGATGCATTATAGAAAGTTCAATGTTACATAGCTGGCTGGTTGGTTAAGTATGCTTACTGCTTTTACAGAGACTACTGTTTCATTCCCAGCATCTACTTCGGGTATTCCAAAACCACCCGTAACCAGCTCCAGGGACTCTGAGATCTCTGGTTTCATCAGGCACCAGTACTTGCCCACAGACACACACATAATCATGTAATTAAACATAAAATAAATTTTAAAAATGAAAATTCAGAAATCAAAGACTATGACTATTTCAGCTTTTGCTCTCCCAGTTTAACTACCTTTGGTCTTTTTTCTTTCCATACATATTTTAAATTGTACTGTCAAATTCCAGGAAAAACCATACTAGAATTTAGAATGGGATAAAATTTAATTTATAGATCAATAATTGTTATCTTAATAGTGGTTTATATTATTTCTACTTGTCTTTTTATTTCAATCAATCAATCAATCAATCAAGAGATAGCGTCTCACTATGTGACCCTGACTGGCTGGGAACTTGCTATGTAGACCGGTAACAGCCTTTATGAAGCCTTCCTTCCTTTCACTCCCTGTGCTAAGGCTGTTTATTTTCTTTTGCAATAGTATTGTAGCTGTTTATCCATCTTGTCAAGAACTTCTGGTTTGATGATTCTATTTTCTTTTTGTTTCTTTTATTAAATCTGCTCTTTGACCATTTCACACATGTATGTAATCACCCTGGCTGCTCTTACCCGGACTCTCTCCTGTCTTTCTCCCACTGCTGTCAACACCTCCTGCTCCATACAAGGCCATGTTCTTATGTTTTGTGAAATTAGATGCACCTGAGCTTGGTATGTTTCTGTTAAGAATTATAATGCCCTCTTGGCTTATTGCTCCCTTGATCATAATGAAGTAATGTTTTTATCACTTCTGAAGAGCTTTGGCTTAAAGCCTATTCTGTCAGATATTAGAACAGTGCTTGCTTCTTGGTACCATTTGCTCAGAATAATGGTACTTTCAGTCATAACTAGAGAAGCCTCTCTTTGCAATGAATTCTAGTGACTGCAGAGACTCTTGGCTACTCTAGGCACTGAGAATAAATGATGGCTGACGCTCAGCCTAAATAGCACATTTATATTACTCTCTCTAAGGCTCACAAACACTGATGAAGAGAAGGAATGTAAGAGCAAGAAGATGGGGTGAAGAGCGCAAAAGGATATCTTCTGGGAATGACACAGCTATTAAAATCATGATCTCTCAGCAAATGCAGTTGCCTGCACAGTGTTGAGCAAGACTGGGCTTGCTGTGGATGGGGAGAGGCTCCAGAGGCCATTCTCCACCCTGCTGAACTGTTGCTATGGTAGATTTATGGGGAAGGGTAGTCATTGTCTTTAGTTTTGCACCCATGGTGAGTCCACAGGCCTCAACTGATAATTTGCAACCCATACTCACCAAAACAGCCCTGGTTAAATTCAGTGGATCACAAGACAGAACAAAAAGACATACTTTTTATTAAAAAAAATATATATATTTTACAGAAAGGGTCTCATTTTGTGGCCCAGTTAGCCTAGAACTCCTTTTATAAACCAGGCTGACCTCAGGTTTGTAAGCTTTCTACCTCCAATTCTTGAGTACTTGGGAATGCTCAGCTATGTGCATCTTAGATTGTTTCTGTTTTGACTGATGTTGTTCCTTCTATTTTGCTAATTTTATAGCTTATTTAGGATTCGATGGGCAATGTTTAGCTAATTTTAATTTGCTGCTCCTTCATTGGCATTGAGCTGGATATATTCTGACATTCCTAAATAGTACCCAAGTACCTTCAGTTCTTTTGGTCTAGAGTTTGTATAGCTCTGTCAGGTTTCTATGCTTAATGTTAGTAGGTGAGTCATTACAGAAACCCTTCAACTTAAAACCTTTCTTATGTTTTGTTTAAAATATATATTATATACATTCGAATCTGGCTCTTAAGCACTGAGCCTTATCTTCAGCCTCAGTGTAACATTTTAAAATATTTTATTTATAATTTTTATGTGTATGGGTGTATTGCCTGCATGTATGTAAATGCACCAGTGTCATGCAATGTCCACGGAGGACAGAAGAGG